GAGAGAGAGGGAGAGAGAGAAAGAGAGACAGACAGACAGACAGACATAGATGTAATTGAGTTGTTCAATTAGGCAACTATGCGTACGCTTGACTGGCAAGTGCAACGCTCGATAGCCAATCACAGTTCATGAAGATGCAGAATAAAGTACGAAATACATAATCTTTACTTGTTGATCTACCTGTAATATATCACAAATAGCCAAGCCAGGCTGTAATGATGCGATAGGTACGATACGATACCTACGATGCGATGATGGAATGGAAATCAATTAACTTACTTATTCCTAATCAACCTAGCTGCGGCGTACCGCCGCGTATGTATCTCGCATTTAGTTACACGATTGGCGCAACAACGGCTCCCTTTAATTGAGCTTATAAGGATTGCCGCAACGCCGTATTGTTGCCGATCAATCGTGCACGACACAGTAGATGTGCACCGGAAAATCAAAACTGCGCGTGCGCAATTTGTCGGCACGCGTCACCGCCGGAAAACTGTGGGGACTGGGGTTGAGGGGGAGTGAGGGGGAGGAGGATAAAAACACTCCATCCAGACGCCAGAGACCACTCACTGACCAGCTGTCGTCCTACCTCCCCCCGCCCCCTTGAGTCACCTGTCGGGAGAGCTACTGCTGAGAGGGAGAGGGGAAGGTGCTGGAGGGGGGGGGGGGGGAGGCAGGTGAACACAATAGGCGCAGGCACGAGTGTCCGTCGATCATCTGAAAAGGACAATGGGATAGAGCCACGAACACATGCACATGCAGATCTCACCAGCCACCGGTTAGATTTTAATATCATTTAGGGCTAGACTAATCGAATTCGCATTCATAAGCCCGCGAACCTCATTTACAGGGTGATTTTTTTAACTGTTAAAAAGTAAACGTCAATGGTGGTCCCTAAATCGAAAAATCGCGTGCAAAAAAGCAATGCACGTGATAGATAAATCTGGGACATTTGGTATGGTGTCATCATTTGTCCCTTTTGACCGACGGCCTCGGCCCCAATGGAGCCTGAAAATGTCCCACCAATCGGGCACGCATAGTCCACCGTCGTTCAGTAAGGAACGACACAAAACGATGATTTTGAAGCATTGAGGCAGTTCGAAGCATACAATGATCAAGGAGATACCTCAGAAAGAGGTTAAATAACGCATGAACAAGCTTGTAGTCATAAATAACCTTCAAACAGTCCATTTGGCGTATGAGCAGCTTTTGAAGAATCAGTCTTCAGGGAGAAAGAAAAACAGTGAATCAGACACCATCAGGGCCGCCAGTATCAAAATTCTCGACCTGCCCTCCCTAAACTTTTAGTTTTTGGGCCCAGCTATGGCAGATATAACAAGAAAACAGTGGAAATATCTGGCAGAGCTGAAAATGGGCGATAGGAGCCTTTTCAGTCCGCCTAATGAGTATGGGAGTCCATGGTGCTGTTCAACACGTGCTCAGGCGGGCTGATTCGTGTCGGTGATAGAGGGGGTAACTTCAAGCACAAGTAAAATACACGATGGACGTTCCTTCGCATCGTGTCCGCATGAAATCAAAATGTCCCAGCATGCTTTTCATCCTGGTATATAATTTTGCAAGATATATTTGCATTTTAACCCCACTAGACCTCATTACTTTTTAACAAGTAAAAAAAACACCCTGTAGGTATTGTCAACTGGTCAACTGATTCAACTCAAAATTTTACCGCTTCTGCACTATGAAAAATTATAGTAGAAAATGTAAAAACATGACCTTATTTCCTCGATAATTGCCAAAACTAATGCTGTACAAATATATACTTTATTTGAAAGAATGTATATATATTTGTACAGCATTAGTTTTGGCAATTATCGAGGAAATAAGGTCATGTTTTTACATTTTCTACTATTTATGAACATGTTCCTCGCACAAGCACTAACCTCACATTAATGAAAAATTATTGTTGCATATAATTCCACTACCATCGATTCACTGTACCATTGTTTTCCCTTTTTAGAGCAGCCGGTCCAAATAAAAACAACATGAACTCCAACTTACACTGGCATTCTGCGAATGGCCCCTCTCACCCCGAGCGGGGTAAGGAAGGGATGGGAGGGGCACCCCCAGTGGCGCCGACCCACGCTACCCCTCTCCTGCCTTCAAAGGTGCCGCGTCTGCCCACACGCGTCCCCCCCCCCGTGGATGGTAGGGGGGGGGGGGCTGGCCGGTCGGAGCGTTGTGTTGGTGGCTGATTTTCCACGCAATTACTGTCCTGGAGAATTACTAGCCGCTTGACGTCAACAGAAGAGCCGAACAGGGCTTCCTAGCCGCAGTGGGTCGATAGTGAGTCTCTTGGCATTGGGTTGGTAACCAGGAAACGGCCTCACATGAAGTGCTTTGTATTGATCCACCAAATTTGAAAGAAAAATAGATGAAATGAATCTGGAAGAAATTGTCGAGATTGTCGACGGATGACGAGACGCAATGATGGGATATGAGCACTGAAGAAAGAAGCACAGTTATTGGTACGTGTCTATTAAACAATTTTTTGAAGTAACATTTTCTTTTTGACAACATTGTTTTATGTATATGGATTTGTGGGTTAAATGGAACACTTGTTGCAATGCAATACTTCGTCTAATGCACATGACAGCAATAGGCACATATTTAGCGAAATTAAAATCCCTTAGCATCCCACATTCGTTGAGGAATTGCTTCAATTCAAGTTATCCCGTGTCAAGGTCATCCCCACACGCACATGGCCTTGGCCCTGTCGGCTAAAATCACTGGGCAGCATCTTCCCACGGCAGTTAGCTTCCGGTGAGCGTCCCCCACGGGGAGGGGGGGGGGGTTCCGGCGCCTCCCCCCCCCCCCGCCTCGCGCCCGTTGGTCCATAGCCAATTACCGGTGCGAGCCTAACCTCGGCTGGCCTGTCCGACCCTCGGCAGGCCGACCGAGACGGTTTGTATAATGAAGATGGTCAGAAGCATGAGTCTTGCGGTCTTGCCCGGGGCAGCCAGGTTTAGGATGCGACACAGACTGTATGCAATGACTGCTGACTAGATAAGACAAAATTAGCAAGATGGGGAGAGAGTCAAACTGTGCACTCGCGCCTTCAAGAAGCTCCGGGTTTGGTCATACCAGTTAGCTACATATGTGAGGATTCTTTCGCAAGTTTTGTCGTGCTGCAGGCAATCAATGCTGTGATATTTTACGAGAGTAATCCGTCTTTTAGGTGTGATGTGGCTGTTGTGGCCAAGTGGTTTACCAAATAACATCCTTGATCTTTTACTCTAAATTATTTGGCTGCGTTAAGAAATAACTTGAGACTATGCGGGTAATAACATATTTGTCATTATTGAGCATTCTGACGACTTTTCCAGGCCATCTGAGAATACCAAGAGGATTTTATCCTTCCACACATTTTAAGGGTCACTTACCTCCCGGGAGCAGTTAAAACGCATCAGTTTGAACGAACTAAGACCATAAAGCCCTTCGTAACCAAAGGCTGACGAGAGTCACCCGGCTAACCACAAAGCACCAAACAAAGTTCCCAATAAGCTCACAACGTCTGGACGGCTTAGTCCAGTTTTGGTCACCTGCCGGGCTGTTTTGGTCCTCACGCCCCCCCTCCCCCCTACCAGCACGCGCGGTCACCTGTCGACGATGGGGAGGGAGGGGGGGGGGGGGGAGGGTGCCACCACCGCCGCCGTGCGGCTCCGTAGAGGTATGTGCTAATCACCAACCCCGGGAGGTGCCTTTGACTTGCCGCCGCCACCGCGGCACTGGGCTACTAGACTGGAGAGAGAGAAGGGAGGAGGAAAGAGAGAGGAGGAGGAAAGAGAGAAGAAGGAGAGAGGGAGAGAGAGAGATAGACGGAGAGAGACGGAGAGGGAAAAGAGGGGAGAAGGAATAGTGAATAAGAGAGAGAGAGAGAGAGAGAGAGAGAGAGAGAGAGAGAGAGAGAGAGAGAGAGAGAGAGAGAGAGAGAGAGAGAGAGAGAGAGAGAGAGAGAGAGAGAGAGAGAGAGAGAGAGAGAGAGAGAGAGAGAGAGAGAGAGAGAGAGAGAGAGAGAGAGAGAGAGAGAGAGAGAGAGAGAGAGAGAGAGAGAGAGAGAGAGAGAGAGAGAGAGAGAGAGAGAGAGAGAGAGAGAGAGAGAGAGAGAGAGAGAAATAGAGAGGAAGATAGTAGAAGGATGGGGAAGGACAATGTGCCCTCTTATTTTTTTTTTTACGGGGCGTACGAGTAAAAGTAGGTTGCGTTAGTATGAATGCAATTTACGATTGAATAAGAAAATAAATTTAAGTTTAAACACTTATTGCAGAATCTGAGGCTTCATTTTACTTTCTCACCAAAGCACAAGAGCGAAATTCTGTTTCTTGTGCACCCGACAAGACAAAGGAATAAAATTGAAATTCCGATAAATGTGTACGTGACAGGAATGCTGATCTGCGCTTCCGTCCCCTCCCCCCGAAACGAGCGTGAGGAGAATGGATACAGGCAAACGCTCTACACATTTTTCGATAGGTACCCATCTTGATTATTGATTGTGCTTGCATTTGTATGCCTCAGTTGCTTGATTTCCGTGACATGACTGAAATTGTATTTCAGACACATCTATCCGTAGACATGGGGCCATTCTCGAGAAGTGTTGGACGTTTGGCGAGATAAGTGCATTGTATGTACAATCCAACTTGTAGAGTTCGTTGTGTGCTGCACTGTTCTTCTTATTTGATCTTTCCTAGTCTACTTGTCGTTCACGCTGTTTTTAATAGCTATGGATGGTTTTCGGTTGGTGCTTTATTTGCGATTGACCACGCGAAAAATGTTCATATGCGTTCAAGTATTCTCAATAACCGCGCCCCCTGATGGTATTTACAAGCATGCTTCCATGTTTAAAAATGTATTTATGCAATGCACACAAACGTAATGGAAAAAAAAAACACCTAGCACGAAAGCACGTCTTACGACGAGATCGTCGTCAAAACACGAAATTCAAAATGATTTTCTCATCTGAGACGCCTCTCCAATAAGATACATCAATCCGGATGCATTCCTGGAAAGAATTTTTTGCGGACCCATATATGGCAGACACGAGATCACAGCACACACAAACATCGACAAACGTTCATTTCTACGCCATGTCCTGGGCACTGTCAAATAGCATTGCACTCACAGAGTGATGTTGAGCAAAATGAGGTTTGACCTTTGGCTGCCTTTCACGAGGTAAATAGCGTCAATGCCGCCATTTGCTGGCACCGCAAAAACAGGAATATGTACGTGTATCTACAGTCCACAGTCTGACAGTTGGTCTTTTCAGGTACGATTTCCTGAGCATCTTTGTTGCCACGGTAACTTCAGTAGTACACAAACCCCACCGACGAACGATTCACTTAGTGAGGTCAAATGCTCCGCGATGAAGCCTTTTCGTTTCACCTGGAAACCTGGTCACCACGCAGCCATTTCAGCATTACCAGCTAGGGGCTACAACAAGTCAGCACACCAACGCAACGTCAGACTGCGAATCAATCTCTGAGCTAGGCACAACATTAGTTAACGCATCACGTTGTCTCATACGACGTAAAAAGAATTGAACACTGATGAACACCAAGCATACATGACACAATGCCTACCTGAGAATCACACAGTCAAATGCCCTCCTTCTAACAACCTTTCCCACCAAGTCCTTCCCTTGCAACATTTTCTTCCACCGCGTCAAATCCAACCACCACCACACTCACAACTGTCTCTGCAGCGCTGCGATATACTCCATTGCCATTTGCAGAGTCTCATGTTTCGACAGCTGCGCTTCACTGCCTTGCGGAAGATGCTGCCGTAGGAGGTCAAAGGCCTCATTCAGCCTCTGCATCCTTCGTCTCTCTCGACAGTTGGCTCCTTCCCTTCGACGGCGCCAGACTTCGTCAGTCAGCGCGCGACGACACCGCTTTTTGGAGAGAGGAAGTTGGCAGGGAGAGGGCGGGAGGAGGCGAGAGGGAGGAGGTAGAGGGGCGGAGGAGTGGGAGGAGGGCGAGGCAGAGCACGGAGGGCTGCATAGTGGCGGACTTCCGGCAGAGAAGTCGGCTCCGGAGTCTGAAATGAGAAGATGAAAACATAATTAGCAAGATAGTTATGCAAACAACAGCGATAAAACTAACGAATGATGCCCGATGACAGTTATGGGTGATTAGGAGCTGGGTCGACACAAGTAAGCAGAATGCGTTACAAATAAAATAAATATTAATGTCAAACGATGAAAAACACGTTGCATTTCAGTCATCAGAGCACGAGTGCTTTGCTTTATTTTGAAATATTTCCTTATCTTGAGCGTTATGCATATGAAGTCAGCTATAAACATCTTTCCATATTTACTACGAAATCGCTATAAATCAATACATTTTCACTCATCTCACCTGATTTTAGCGTGAATCCGCCATATATATCGTAGCAGCTGCCAGGACTCTCTACCTTGACCAGAGACGTCACATTCTCAGCATCCTGCTGCTGCTGTGGAGCATCAACTTCTTCCACTTGTCCACCGTCCAGCCGCACGTCGCGGTAGAGCCGTTCACTATGTTCTACTACTGCACCTGTGTTTCTCCGTGGGCTGGTCATGCTGTCGGATATGTTGTATGTCTTGATGGGAACAGTCGCACAGGTGAATCTGTCCTCCAGCACGACACCACTGTCAGGACTGTCAGGAAGTGACCAGGTCATGACAGGTCACTGCCAGGTCACCAGGTCACGAGCTTGACCTCGGTGAAAGCCGCTTGATCTCACGAAGAGATGTTGCCTTGAAGATTGAAGGGCAGATATTTGAAGAGCTGACGCCTTCAAAGAGCCACGTTTGCTGCTGCAGGATCCAAACTTGCAAACGCCACAACACAAGCCAAAACAGGCCAAAGACTCAGCTATCTTATCACGCTGTTCTAGAACACGTTTCTAGCACGTGAGTGCAGCGTCACTTCAAAGAACAGGAGTACCCGCGCACGCAGCTGCTCTGGTGTTAGTGCCCTGAAGTCGGGTGGCGGCGTTGAGGTCTTTCTTAGCGGGGTGGCGGCGGGCGCGCGCCCCATGGAAATTGGGGCGCTGATTGGTCCACGGCACGGGACGGGGCGGGGCTTAAATAGGGACCTATGTGATGTGCCTTGGAAGTGGAGAGGAGAGGGGCTGATATAGTTCAGATTCGTTGGCGATTTCGTATTTGTAATTTTGTTTTATGTAAGGCAGACGCTACTTTTACAAATTAGGCCTGGCAGCATTATGTTGTGATCATAATCGAAACAAATAAAATCAAGATAATGATGAAACACAAAAAACAGACGTCTTCCTCAAAGGACAACATGGTGGAATAAAACGTTAATGTTAATTTTATTCATTTGCAATGTCCGCCTACTTATTCATCTGTAATATAGGAAAACTACACCACCGCCAGTCACCATGATGATGTGAGTCAAGGCAGTCTTTTTCCTTGCCAAAGCCAATACCCTTTCTGCTTTCTCACGGCGGAAAGACACTAATCCAAATTATGGTAGGTATGAGCTGAGTTCTAATGCTTGATAATAATTTAGACAACTCCATTAGGAAAGATGAGTAACTGAGCGTATTTGGAAAACAACGTAAAAAAAGGATTAATTGCAATAATTATCGAAATATCAGATGCAAATTTTTCGGTCAGTTGTATTGTATTGTATTGTATTGTATTGTATTGACATCAAAAGCCTCCCACATAAAGCGTCGCGATTACGGCTTAGGCATCAGATAATTTCACTTTATAGATCTCAAGGTTTCAAACAGCTGTTCAAAATGTTCTTCCATAGCTTTTTCCGTATAACTCAGCCCACATGTCTCATTGCAACAAGAAACAATAACATAATTTAGGTATATGTAAATAGATACATAACAAAATTGAGCCAGCAAGTATTTAACTACAAAACGAAATACATTGAGAGACTAGGCCAAATTACGCGTGCTAACGCCTAAACATAATTAACAGTTTAGGTCGTCGACAGTCCTGCCAACATACTCGTAGATGTGCTAGTATCGGAGCCAATGCAATTAACTGAAGTCATGGAGTGTGATCAGAGTGTCAGTCAACAGCGGGCACGGTCAAAGTGCTTCCCGACCCCCCCCCCCCCCCCCCCTCATACAACCACAGGTAGCTCTGGTCCTGACCCATTTAATTCTCCATCACCCCTGTTTCCGGACCCAGGCGAGGTAAATCTACTTTCTGGGTGGATTTAGTGAACCATTTGGACGGACCATTTGCACCTGGAGTGTTAAAAACACCACCTCTGACCGACACCGAGGGATTTTAACGTGAAGCTAGTGAGAATATTGACAGGTTTTGAATAACGAACAAAGCCACGCAGACCTGGGCGGATGCGTTTATCCTGTTTTGAAAAACCCACAGACACTTGATACGGATAATACACGTTTGTGAATAATTCGCAGACAAAGCCTGCTTTGAGAGCGGTGAATAACATCCCACTGAGGGAAGAGGTAATCCTTTAAGGAAGGAGGGGGATAGAAAATAGACACGTGCCTGAAACCTACCTGCAGCGGAAAGAGATGCCCCATAACCGGCACACAACTGCACGGACGGTGTTGTTAAAACCAGCAATGGACTGTAGCGAAATTGTTGATAAATCAATATGATTTCACATGTTCATTTCCTTCTACTCATTCCACAGATGCTGAAAATACCGTTCGAAAAAGACATACCTATAATAAAAACTTTTTTGAGCTCGCTGTATTCCAAAGGAACTTCTTTGACTCCGCTAGTACTACTGTCCCATCTCGCCTTAGAACGAGCCGCCAAGACATTCATGAATGAACGAACAAAAAAACACAGTCCGAGTAAAATGTCTCCTCAGTCTGCTTAGCATCTGAAAGGGCATGACCTCCCACGCAGCGATTCAGACTCGAGCGTAATTGCTCTCTTCTTCAGTCACCGACCCCAGGATCCTACAGTGGCTGACCGCATGGTCGAACCACATGGTCGTAGGAGCAGGACCAAACATCGGTCTACACCGTTCGGCCCACCCAAATTCACCCTCCCTTGACCACAGCCACACACAACCCTCCTCGAAGCTCGACCAGCGCTCAACCGCAGAAGTACTCCCGGCGCTGTGAATTACCTAAAAAACGCTGACGGGGTTCGACTAGCCACGCGTTGGGCGAGCGGTAGCCGACATGGACAGACCATCGGTCCTAAGGAGTCTGTTTGACTCATTATTCTGGCTTGGCGGTTCTCAAAGGAGCGACTGAGGGGCTACCTACCTTCTTGCCTGCCGCCGCCGCCGCCGCCGCCACCACCGCGGCCGCGCCGGTCGGTACCTCAAATCAGCCGCCAATTACCCCCTCCCCCCTCCCCATCGGGCCGGAGCGGGCGGCAGAAACCGCCGGATCTTCTTCTGCGCGAGCACCCGCCACCCCTGATTGACTTATGTCCCAACCGGCGCCCGGTGTGGCCCGCATTTGCATGTATGATGAAGACAAAAACATGGCTATTATCGGCAGGGCAAGGCTGTCGGAACGATTAGGACGAGACGCTTCAGGAGCGGACTTCCGACATACTGACGGCAGGGGTAGCCATCGGGATGGGAGGGGGGAGAGGGGGAGGGAGAAGGCGCCTTTTGGGAGGATCACTTGGAGTGCCAACGGGGATTGTGAGCGGCCTAAGCTGAATGGTGGTTAACGGAAGGGCGGATAATAATTATGAAAAAGGAATCGATTCCAGTGATCCTATGTACGGGTAAACACGAATCAATGTGTATTGTGTAATCGTTATTAGATGTAAGCTACCATTGGTAAGGCGAAGCACTGTAGCAGAAGGATCTCACTCCCCCCTCTCTCTCTCTCTCCCTCTCTCTCTCTCTCTCTCTCTCTCTCTCTCTCTCTCTCTCTCTCTCTCTCTCTCTCTTTCTCTCTCTCTCGCTTTTTACATTTCACTGTTTTAGTGGTAAGTAGTCTCTGCTCGCATGCATTGACGTGCATTTGATCCTAAGGTCATTACATAATTATGTAACGCCGAATTCGCTGCAATGAGCAAAGTGGAAACGTTTCATTGGTCACTGTGGTATCGTGATCCTGTTCCATCATGCCGTGCCTGTGTGCGCCGGGCGGCGCCGGCCGAGTAGCGCGGGCGCGGACTCGAGCGCGCGGACCAATCGGCAGCCGCCACGACCGCGGTGACCCCGCCGAGCTGACCGGCGCGGCGGTCGGGTCAGGAGTGCGCGCGGTGCGGCCGGTCGAGGCTGATGTGTGCTTTCTTGGCGCTTATTTGAACTCTTTCGTTACGTATTTCATTCTTGCTTTTACGTTAAAGGTAGTGTGCCAGCTTTCTTGGACCGTATGGAGTTAATGGCCCAGATAAGGAGAACCGGATTTTTAGAACTTATCCATACCTTCAAAACTCATGGAAACGTCTTAAATTCTTCAAATTTTGAGTACCCCAGAGCGAAATTCGCCCCGACGGGTTGTCGGTCGTACCCCAACCACATTTCACACCACTATGAACAATAAATGCACACACTGAAATCGCTATTACCGATATGCTCATCCAATCAAGTTTCGATAAACCCGTTCATCATCAGCTCCTGCGGTTTCGAACACGCCTGTTAGTTGGCTTCTGATGCTCGTCGAGGTCGGAATTTCCAAATACGCGTGGTGCGTCGGGCCGCGCGCTCTGACTTCGGCCAAGAAAAATGCGTCAGCTGATCATTGTCATTTCTGCCACTTGCGTGTGGTGAAATGGGGTCATAACTTATAAGACGGCTTTTTCATATAAATTATTTTACATAAAATCATATTTCAAACCATAAATAATGTTCGACAGCCAAATAAAAGAAACAATACCAATACGGGCTTACAGTTTAAGGCTCGACATTGTGTTGTCTACGATTAGACAGCTGATAACTCATTCCCGTACGTCGTATGGTCGTAACACTATAATGACCTTTGCTTATTGTCACAAGTGCGCCGCATTCGCGATTGTTGCCCGACGCCTGTTTGCAGGTGAGCCCACTACAGTTGTTATACATATCTAAAAACCGATAAACTTTTAGGCGAAAAAGGCACTATTCCAGGCCCATTTTTGATTTTTTTGCGATATTAGGTAAAAACAGAAGCTTCTTATTCTAGGAAAAATAAAATGGGAAATCTTTCAAAGGTGGCACACTACCTTTAATATACTACAGTCACGTCTGACAGAAACGTATTTAATCCGTAGCTGACATGTACTCCATATCAGCTGCGGATGTGTATTGTGTAATGTGTATGGCGTATGCCTCCGGTAAATACATTGTAATTTTTAGTACATGTATATTATTACGTACATGATTATTACGTTTATTACTTATTATTATTACGTTTATGTATATTATTACGGTACACCGTGAAGTACCGTTATTATCACGGTCCATGTATTGTAGACACAAAACAAACATTTAAGCCATGTTTGTTGGTTAACCGTGGTCGCCTAAATGATCACTTTGTATTCGTGATCAGTAGGAAAATTACGATTTTATGCTCAGTCCGCAGCTTGAAATGCCATACGCATGGTCAAACTAACAGCAGAACACTGATTTGCTGCACTCCTGACGATCTCTTCGACCCTCCCTCTCCGATTTCTTCGACCCGTCGACTGAATGCGGGAGAACACCAAGCATACATAGGGACTACACTGAGCTACATTTCTAGTGCCTTCCTCGGCCATTTCGCGCTCAATACCTGACTGGACTGGACAGCTGCCTCTCCTGCCACGCCACCAGCGCAGTGGGCCTCCTCGTATCCCCATCCCTGTCTCTATAAGCAGTCTCACTTGGTCTGCAGCGACACTGTGATCGACAGCCCACCCAAATCGCCTCCCTGAGCGGTGTTCTATTCAGAACTGCCATCCACGTCTCCAGCACAGGGTTGTATACCAATCAAGTCGATTGAATTGATTGATTTGTTTCAACGCGTATTTTGAGTTGATTGGATTGAGTCGATTGACTTTTCGAGATGACTGTTTGACTGACTCGTTTGACTTTAGCGACTGGTTGACTGATTTGATTCCCGAAAATTAGAGTGACTCGTATGATTGAGTCGATTGAATGGAAAATTCAAATAAGTTTTAGTTGACGAAAAATAATGACACCAATTGATG